TTTTTTTTTTTTTTTTTTTTTTTTTTACATTCAAACGTTAATTTAGTAGTAGTGTTTGTTTGGTTCTTTCCTTTTTCTTTTATTGGACGTCTTTGAACTCGGTTTCTCTCTTGTCCCTTTCATGCAAAGATTTGGTTCTATTCAATTAGTCTCGAATTCGAGATTTTCGATTACCTGATTGAACAAGGTAAAGCTATTTGAAGAATCTTTACGAGATAACTTCGGAACAGTGTTTAGGATCCACCTTTGCACCTTCGTCTTTTTTATAGTCGAGCTACTTTGCTCCTCTCCCTATCGGTCGAGTGGCTTCGTTCCTTCACTTAATTACGACGATAGTGAAAATGTTTGCTTAATCCACCACGACGATAGTGAAAGTTATCTATTTATAATCAAATAAATTACAAGGATATGGAAGAGTAATAAATTGAAAGATATTTATAGTAAGAAGACAAATATCTAGATATTTTGTCTTATAATAAAATATCAAATATGATATATATGTTAACTATAATTTAGTACTAAATATCCTTAACACCTCTTGCAAGCTAAGCGTCGGATTTGAACGAACGTGAAACTTGAATATGAAAATTCAAAGAGAGGTTGAGAAACACTTTTCGTGAAGATGTCAACAACCTGGTTCAGAGGAGGCGTAGAGAAACACTTTCTTGCCCATCGAAAACTGTAGAGGGATCGACACTCAACGGCGATTCTACCTTGGCTTCTGCGAGAATATGTCTAACCCCATGAAGAGGGATCATCGCTTAGCGACAATGCTGCCTTGACTTCGGCGAGAATATGTCTAACTCAAGAAGTAGAAGGGGAAACCTAGAGAAAGAGACAAAGACAATGTTGAAGTCGAAAGAGTCGCCACAATGGGCGAAGGAGCCAATTTTGGCGAGAAAGGCGGCGACGACTTGGTTGGCGAAGAGGCTAGTGCGACACCCATATTCCAAAGGTAAATCTTTGCAGAATTATTAATTACGAGACTTTAGGATGTAAGTCCTAACAATACAGTATTTTTACAACCATCGTAAAATGCTATGCTCATTACGATGACATAAACTCTCAGGGCTTGCGATCTAAATAATCATCATAGTATATGATAATAAGATGGTCAATACGAAGATATCAAATTTTATGGTTTGCGATCCTATTAACCATTATTATATATGATCATGCGATAGTCACTGCATTCCATAAGGTTTGTGATAGTAGAGCTTACCGCACTATTGCACGATGATACCTTAGGGTAATAGCATAAATGCGATCGAGTCAAAATTTAAGCACACAAGATAGTTTGGAGAAGTCGCAAATACAAACAAGAACAGAACGGTTTAATCGAACATTCACTACTTTATTGTGGTTATAAAAAAAAAGTGATTTCGAGAATGAAGAATATCGAAAATGGTGAGATGAGAAACTATTGCTAGAACTTTGAGTGTCCAGATGGGTTGAAGAGAGAAACGAAACATTCATTACAAGGGTGTGGAAACCCTTATCTAGTAGACACATTTTAAAACCGTGAGGCTGAAGGCTATACGTAATGGGTCAAAACAGATAATATCTATAACAGCGGGTTTGAGTTGTTACAAATGGTATCAAAGCTAGACATTGGACAATGTGCCAGCGAGGTCGTTGGGCTCCAAAGAAGGTGAATTGTGAGGTCCCACATCAGTTGTGACGTTTTAAAATCGTGAGACTGCGATGATACCTAACAGGCCAAAGCGGATGACGTCTGCTAGCACTGGGCTTGGACGTGTCACAAAACGGTCAACAACTAATGTTAGAAAAACCCCAAACCGTGAAACGTTAGATTGTTTTATAATTTCCTTTTTTAAAAATCAAATAATTTTGGAAGTTTTTTTTCTTTTTCAAATTAATTAGGCAATTTCCCTATCTACAAAGGGCAAGCAATCGGCAGGGCACCGTAGTAGCTTGGGCGCTTCGCCGTGCAGTGGTCGGCCATTCATCGGACCAGAGATCCGCTCCAATTCGGTCTCCGATTCCCAATAACTCCGCCAAGTTTATAACACACAGTCTCCGCCTTCCCTACCGATTACTTTTCTTGTTTCGACATTCTCCTTCTTCTTCTCCTCCTCGTTGCCGGCAGTAGGGCGAAGATTTGAGTGTAACGGCGACGCAGCAAACTTTTCTCAGGTGTGTCAAGTTTCTAAAGCTAGCTAACATGTAATTTCATTCTCATGTTCTATCGCAACCGGAGTTGTTTCAATCCCACTCCTTAAACCGGAGTTTTTTCTCCGTCCCGTCATTTGTGAATTTGAATGTAGCGTAGTGAATGTTGACATTGTTTGGGTGTTTTGTGGTTGTGATTCTAGAAATTCATTGAAGAATCGAATAAGGGGAGGAGTAATTCAAATGATTTAATGTAGGAATTAGGAAGCCGATACTCTCTTTTAACCTATAATATTTCAACCTGGAAGAGGAATATACTGTGGCTGTTCTTTATCATTAGGAGCTTATTTAATCTGCATTGTGGTAGAATTGGAGGAGGAATTGTTTGGGTCTTTTGTGGTTGTGGTTCTCGAAATTCACCGAAGAATCGAAAACGGGGAGGAGTAGATCAAATGGTTTTATGTAGGCATTAAGCCTATGAGAAAGGAATCTAACTGTATAAACTCAATTCTTTTTCTGGATTTGATGGATTGGGATTGGCGGATTGCACAATTGAATGAGCATACCGATTAAGATTCATGAATCAAAATGGAGCGTTACTCTAAAGGAAGCAGTACAGACCATATCTTGTATCATGCCAATTTGTTCTTAGCATTTCTTGATATGGGGCATTTGTTTGAAGATTACTTCCTTTTGCCAAAACTTGAATTTCATTATATTGATAATTCTTACCTGTTTTTTGGGACAAGGGGACGTGGGCATGGCTGGTTTTCTTTGAAGTTGTATTTGCTGTGGTTGCTTAATCCTGATAGGTATTTAGATTTTTGAAGGGCAGTAGCACTTGTAGATGATAAAATGAATAAAAATTAGCTATCAACTTTCGAAAATTTACTTCATTTTCCAATCTCAATTTCATCGTCAAAAGTTTCAACAAGCTTGAATTCATTGTTTTCACATCTTGTGCTCCATGAATGTTTTGAGGGTGGAGGACAATCTTTTATGTGGTCCATGATTATGAGAATGTTTTGCAATTACGACGTTATTGTGAGATCCCATATCGATTGGGGAGGAGAACGAAACATTCTTTATAAGGGTGTGGAAACCTCTCCTTAGCAAACGAGTTTTAAAACCTTGAAGGGAAGCCCGAAAGGGAAAGCCCAAAGAGGACAATATTTGCTGAATCAGAGCCAGATACTGGGCGGTGTGCCACCGAAGACGCTGGACCTCGGAGGGGGTGGATTGTGAGATTCCACATCGATTGGAGATGGGAACAAGTGCCAGCGAGGACTCTGGCCCTAAAGGGGGGTGGATTGTGAAATCCCACATCGGTTGGGGAGGAGAACGAAACATTCTTTAGAAGGGTGTGGAAACCTCTCCCTACGTTTTAAAAACCTTCAGGGAATCCCAAAAGGAAAAATCCAAAGAGGTCAATATAAGATAGCGGTGGGCTTGAGCTGTTACACTTGTGATTCTAAATGATCGGATGACTTTGCTTTTGCAGTCATTTGGAGGGATGTCTCTCCCCAGCCTCTAGACTGCTTTGTTTTCTCTTTTCGTTCAATCCGCTTCTTATAGAAAAACAGAAAAGAAGAAAGAGGGACAGACAACTTAATACTGTCCCAGTTTCAATCTTTCTTGTTGGAGTGCTCTTTAATCTGTTGTCTGGCCAAGTTGCTGAAGTTTCTTCCCCTATGTTGCCTTATTTGCCTCTTTTTTGTCTGTTCATTTAACAAAATCCAATGATTTCCCAGTGTATCAGGCAACGTTGTAAAGATACATAAATGGCTGAAGCAAACAACTCAAGTTCAGAGTCCTTAAATTCTCAAGTTGTATATCGTTGTAAGAAGTGTCGTAGAATTGTTGCTACACAAGAGAGTATAGTCACCCATGAAAGAGGAAAAGGTGAACTAAGCTTCAAGTGGAGTAAGAGAAGTGGTAATCAACTCGGACTGCAGAACAAACCAGCTGATTGCACCTCTATATTTGTTGAACCAATGAAATGGATGGAAACCTGTAAGATTAAGCAAAACAAACCCCATTTTCCCTCTGTTTCGACTCGCTCGTATGCAAAATCGACTAACTTTTTCGTTTTTGTTCATGATCGAACAGTACAAGACGGCCACGTGGAAGAGAAACTCGTGTGTATTGGCTGCAAAGCTCGCTTGGGTTCCTTCAACTGGGCTGGCATGCAGTGCAGCTGCGGAGCTTGGGTTAATCCTGCTTTTCAACTACACAAAAGCAGATTAGACGAATGCCTGATGTGAATATATTAGCAAGAAACTAAAGGTTAGTTTCTATCAGTTTATGAAGCAATGCTATAGGTTTTGTTTTCATAGAACTAGAAATCTAGCAAACTTCAATCTTTGAATACTGATTATGGGAAAGGAAATTTTGAATACAATATAGAGTTCTATGTTCTGAACAATTACTCCCTCCATTGTCGTCTACTTTTTCTTTACATTCCTTTTTTCTATCTCTTGTTGATGATCGTCATACTATCTCTATACCTTAACTTAAAGTCTCATATCATTGGTTTTGAAGAAAATGTTGAGGGGATACAACCCTTTTGAATCCATGAATTCGGCGAGCAATTCGATTAGGGGGAAGGTCGAGCAATTGTATAATATATTGGCTGAACTTTGCGTTTTAACTCAAAAGATACTTCTGAACTTTCAAGAGTTTCAATAATATTTTTAACCTAAAAAAGAACAAAAAAAATCTAAAAAATACCTTAAATTTTCTAAAGCGTTTAAAAGTATTATCAGGATAGAAATGGAAAATACATTTTCTATTTAATTTTCAAAAGTTTCATTAATACCAAAAACACCCTTTAAACTTTTATTTTTAAAATACCAAAAACACCCTTTAAATAGACTCTTTTCATTCATATATTGACAGTAAAAAAAATTTGAACTTTTAAAATTTTGTGAGTATTTTTTTTTTTAACCTAGTAAGTAAATGCATTTTTTAATTTTTTTTTAAGAAGTTGTAATATATTATTATTGAATATTTCTAAAGTTTATGAGTATTTTGAAATACTTCAAAAAAAATTTAAGATTATTTTTTAAACAAAATAGATTTCCATCCAAAAATAGTATGTGTTTTATAAATTTCTTTAAAAATTTAAAGAGTATTATTTAAAGTTCAAATTTCAAAAATATTTTTATTAGTTTAGCCTACATCTTACGTGGCAGTCATCGGCGGCCTTTTATATTCAACAAGCCCAATAATGTGACTAGAAGGCCCAATATGGCTTTGTTTGGGCCCACGTGCAGTTCAGTTGAGACATGCGGCCCATTTTCGAAATTCATCTCTTTCCCGCTGATCTTCCGCATAGTCACACGACACCCCCCAACTCCGTAATGCCGCTGGAAGAGGGATGTTTCTTAGGGTTCGCACTTCGCTCAAATCGCTGAAATTTTCTTCACCACCGTATTGTTCTTCGGTGAAATCTCTGCAGCGGTTTATAATTTTCTCATCTTTAGGAAACGCTCAAGCTGATGCGTTGAATTTATTGCCTCCAACCTTGTCTCTCCTATGTCGGGCTCCTGCAAGAATTGCAGCGGCAGGTCGCTCTTCCGCGACGATGTTTCCGGCAATCTGATTTGCTCCTCCTGCGGTATTGTTCAGGAATTTGACAACTATGATGCCCAGCTTGGCGGTCTCAATGGTCCGCAGGGCACATTCGTCCGCGTTGGAACCTCAGGTTCGGGCAGTGTTTTGAATTATAAGGATAAGAAAATCTATGAGGCTCAAAACATTATTGAAGATATTACGTTTAGGTTAGGGTTTTCTGCTTCCAAATCTAACGATGTTAGGATTTTAGTATCGACGATTACAGAGGGTGAGTATGGACAAGGCGATTGGTTCTCAATTCTCGTTGGTGCCTGTTCTTACGTTTCTATGCGCAAGGATAATCGTCCATTGCCAATGTCGGAGGTTGCATCGACCATTGAGTGTGATCTTCATGAACTTGGCAGAATGGTTCTCAGAGTTGTCGATTTTTTGGATTTGAAAGGGCCTGCGTTTCCCGGTTTTGATATTGTGGGGTCATTGGAGCGGGCGGCAAGGAATTCACCGTCTTTCTCAAAAGTAGAAGCGGATACACTGGACGTAATAGTTAAGCAAGGAATCTTTTTGTTACAGTGTGCTATGAAATGGTTTCTGACGACTGGGCGGCAACCACTACCCATGGTGGCTGCTGTGTTGGTTCTGGTGTCAGGACTGAATGAGGTTAATGTTAGTATCGATGATGTAGCCATGGAGGTTCATGCCAAGGTTTCTACATGTAAGAAGAGGTACAGAGAACTTTTGGGGGCACTTGTAGAAGTTGGCAAAAAGTTGCCTTGGGGAAAAGATATCACCAAAAGGAATATTGTGAAGAATGCTCCTTTCGTGATCCAATATATGGAGTTGAAATCAATGTCAAATACCTGTGGTCGGGGGAAGAATTTCGAGGATGTAGGGATCGATTTGCAGGCTGCAGTGAGTGAGTGTTTAAGAAAAGAGCTACAGTATGAAAGTGAGGTCAATAATTTAGAAGATGATTCTCAGTATTTTGAGTTAATAGGCAATAGTTGGCGTGATGAATCGAGTTGTGATGATCGAAACAAACTCAACATTTCCCATGAATGTTTATCCTTGATTTATACTAAGTTTTTGGATGAAATGGCTCATCTCAGGTCATCGGGCGGGATTAATGAAATCTATGGAAGAAAGCTGGGAAGAAAAGCTGGTTTTCAGTCAAGTACGGAGTGGTGGGAGGGAAAATCACAATTAAGCAAAAAGCTTCTACTGCATCAATTATTGGAGACTGATGTAGGATTGAATGGTATGCCGCCTTCATTTGTAACTAGTTGCAATGCATACAAAAGGAGGAAGGAGAAAATAAACGCTGCTAAGAATCGAATCCAGAGGATCATGCTTCCTTCAAACACTGCGATTGGCAATGTAAATGCCGAGAAGGAAAGAAAGCGTAAGAGAGCTATCGGTATCGAATGGGAAGATATAATAATCGAAACCCTTCTTCTTCATGATGTGAAAGAGGAGGAAATTGAGAAGGGTCATTACAATGCATTGCTGGACTTGCATGTATTCAGTTCTTGGAGGTCTTAGAGCTTTCCGCATGTATACAATGTTCAAAATGTATAGACAGGAGAGGGAAACGAAGTGTACAGTATCCAGCACGAATCGTATTCTAAAACTTTGTCCATTAACAGCAAGAGGAGTTGTTTCTCGTTTGATTTGTTGATTGATGAAGTTTTGAGGTATATATATCTATGAATGCAAACTATGTAGCCATTGCTTGGAATTCTGGTTGGCAATTCAGATGATGTGTTCGGGTAGAAAGCCACTCCTATTTGTTTCTTAATGTTTGTTCTCTTGCCACTTCCTGGGGCTCACACTTTCTAAAAAATTTGCAGGAAACTACATTACAATGACGTGTACGACGAGTAGCGCTTTGCTTTCGGGGATTCAGAAGAATACCCTTCTCCCTTCTTCATTATCTGGGGGGAAAGGAACCGTCTCGTCCTTTCTCGAAAGTAGTCTCTGCCTCAATGGATCTCCAACAACTCAACCTCAACTCCTGAATGGTGGCTTAAGGAAGCAAGAAGGCTCGCGGAACACAATAAGATAAATGTGATAGATAGCTAGACATACAACAGGAAAACTAAACTAAGAAGATGGATAGACGGTTGTGAGATGAGAAGAGATCACGTGAACATGGTCAACTATAAATTATTATGTTTACGATTCGTCATCAATTCCGGGTGGCAACTTTTAGTCCTATTTTATTTAATACAATAAGGTGACTTGGTTATGTGTAGAACAATAATTGAACCTACTATTAAAGAAAAAATCATATAGACTAAATTGATCAGTTAAGCTCATGGTTCATCGTTTATGTGACATCCGAGTAAATGAGAGGTATGTGAATGAACTATATATTAAAGAATCGATCTTTTGCAAATAACCTATGACTAACATCGTTTCATATATATATTTTTCCATTGCTTCAAGAATATATTTTTATTCACTTTTGTTTAAGTTATCTTGAATTAAAAATGAATCAGAAATGTCATTATTATTTAAAAATTATGATAAGTAAGTCATTATTATTTAAAATTATGATCGGTAAGATGTCATTATTATTTAAAATTATGGTTATTATTATTTAAAATTATGATAAGTAAATGTCGTTAATTATTATTATTTAAAATTATGATAAGTAAAACGTCATTAAAAAAAATAAATAAGGAAAGAATATGATTTATAAGGAGTAATTTTTTATTTTTTTTAAGTTTAAGGTTATTAATGCCGGTTTTTTAATTTTTTTAAATATAATAAAATATTGGCTATATTCTTTAAAAAGAATTTTAAAAAAAAGTTTATTAGTAATTTTTTTTTGAAGGTGTCCTCTCACACAAACAAAATTTAAAGATAATATATTTTTAATTATTTAAAATTTATGAATATTATTAAATGTTTTGAAATTTGATAAATATTTTTATTACAAAAAAAATTAGTCATTTTTATTAAATCAGCATTTTGTTTTCATTATTGACACCATAATCAATGGCGGTTCTCCCCAGAACAGACGACTGATTCGGCGGCGATTTTAGGGCCTTCTCTCTCTCTCTCTCTCTCTCTCCGCCGCTCCTTTTTGGGTTGGAGGGCATCAGCTTTCGCCTGAATCATCGAAGAAGAGGATAACGAACGTTGTGGCTTCTTGTTGACTCCACTTGGACAACGATTTCACTCCTCTCTATAAATATATGGCATTGGCGCCTTTTATTCACGCCCGCTCTTGCTACAACCACATTTTTGGCCGTCCAAGAACCGGTTCTTCTCATGAACCTTTAGGGACCTCGTCGTTTTCTTCTTCCTCTTCCTCCTCTCCCTCCTGTTCTTCGTCTGGTACTTCTCGCCCTCTCCTTTTTGGCTACGTTTCTTATTTGCGCTATTGTTGTTGTTGTTGTTTATTAATTAAATGTTAAATGAAGAATTTGAGTTCCTGTTGTTGAATTGAAAGTGAATAAGGGAATTGGGTTTTATTTTGTTTTTTTTTTTGTTTTCCTTACCGCATTGATCTAAACGTGAAGATGACGACGATCGGAGTGGGTTATCTCGTTTTTCTATAGCTGGATGAACAAATCTTCCGAATATCACGTATCGTTTTAAATTCGCGAATTCTTCGCTTGAGATTTTCAGTCTCCTGTATGTAATTGTGGATTCTTGTTACAAAACTGTACTGTACTAAGGTAGTGTAAAATAGGGTTTTCGATGGCATGGAGATGTAATGCAAACCTACCGTTGGTGGATGAGGATAAATGCCTCCATCCTTCCACGGGAACGCAAGTGTTCGTACTATGAGCTATGAAATTAGCCATGCAATCGATGGCTTATAGCTCAAAAGTAACCTTCCTAATGGTTAAACTCATGGTTTTTTTTTTTTTTTTTTTTTTTCCTTCTTACATTTCATTTTCATGGATGAGAAGTGAAGGTTATATTTCTATAAAAAAATCTTTAGCAGGTAATATGAATGCACTGCTGTGACTTTCATTCTCATATAGGCTTATTTCCTCTTGCTAATGGTTCCTTTGCCCTATTTTGTCATTGTGGGAGCACATTTCAATCCAATGCTACACCACACTACAACTTTTTTAGAAAGGCCCTGCTTAATCATGAATACATGTTCATAAATCTTTTTCTTGTTTTGGATGTATTTGCTTTTAGAACCGATTTCAATACTTTCTCCTGACTCCAATGAACTTGAAGTTTGTAACATACATCAGTTTGATTTTTTTTTTCCTGAAATTTATCTGTGCTTAACTATTTGTTTTGGATTCTAGATTTTTTTTCTTCCGTTCTTTATTTATTTATTTTATTTAAGCTGGTTACAAGTTTTCTCTTTTACATGCCATTGATGGACATCAGCAAAATTTATGCATTGCAGACTTGAATCTCAGTTGGAGAGTATTTGGTCTTGGACCTCAAGGTATGAGTAATTCAACCCAGAGAACATTCTTATCATCAAGCAGCTTTGGAAATGTACGAAACGAGCCAGATCACCTTCTTGTCCTTGTTCATGGCATCATGGCTAGGTATCCTTTGATTACACCTTATGATTGCTTGTTACCAGATTAGATAGTAAGTAAAACAAGATTAAAAGGGAATCATATTTCTAACTTCTTATGAAACATGCATATATTTCGCTGAATATCTGTGGTTTTTTGGGGATTATTAGAGTTCAAATGTAGTAGTAGATCTATAAACTGATTCTCACATAAAGTTTTTGTTTAGCCAATTCAAACATATTTAGATAGCTATCAGAAAATCTCTCTTTCTCTCCCAGCCCGCCTTCCCCCCTCTCTCTTTTGATTACTGCATTTATTATGTAGCCCAAGTGATTGGACTTACTTTGAAGCAGAGTTAAAAAGGCGTCTTGGAAGAAACTTTGTAATATATGGTATGTTCTTCTTCATGTGAGAATATGTCACCATCCATGCTTAATGGAATATCAAACATTGCAATATAAGCATGTACATGTTACAATATTTCTAAAATGCAGGAAGCATCAAGATGAGTGTAATATTTACGACTTTTGCATTTTTGTTTGAAAGTAAAAGGTGAATCTCTGAGGTTGTTCTTGAGATTTGTATAATATTGGTTCTGTTACTTCCATGTGGAGCTCTGGCTTTAAGTTCTTTTTAAACTATTCTCCTTTTGTTACCTTCTATTCCTAAACATCTCATGCATCTCAAACAAAAACTCCAACCAAACGACCTCTAAAAGTAATTTGGAGAAAGGCCACCTTATGGTCAATTGGAATTTTTGAGTTCAAAGCACCCTGACGTGCCATGCAGAAAATGGATATGTGGCTGCATTTCTTGAGCCAATGTAGTGTCTGGTGTTTGTTTGATTGATAAAAGTCTAGAGTTGAAGCTGTTTGAAGGATTTATGAGGGTAGATAAGAATCACTTTCTTAGCTCCATAATTGCTTCAATCTTCCTCGAGTCCTTTCGTTTTTGAGACTCCTGGGGCTTAAAGTCAACATGTATAAAGCATTGTTGGTGGGCTTAAATATTAAATCTGAGGTGCTTGACTAGATATAGTTGTGCTGAAAGATTTTTGATTCTCAATTACCTTGGATTTCCCATGGTGGTCCCTCTTTGCTCAATTTTGGAAATTACCGAATTGATCTGGGAACCACTAAAAGGTAAAAAGGCTCTTAATTCTGAGGGAAAGAGATTAACTCTGTGGCAGGTTCTTCCCAATGTTCATACATATTACTTGTCTCTTATCAATATCTTAGTTAAATGTGTTTGTATGCTTGAGAAAGTGCATGCATGCGTTCCATCCACTGTGAAGGTGTTGGTTATGGTGGATGGTGCTACCTCGTGCATTGGGAGTCAGTTTTCATTACCGTTTGTTTCCAAGGGCTCTGTTTTGGTAATCCTAGGAGTATAAAGCATGATCCGTCTCTTTAAGTGTGAGGTTCTCTAGGAACTTGGTTCTCTGTTGCAAAATAACAGCTTGAAAATATGGTTTGGAGGAGCTTGAGTCGACTGCATTTTGTTCTTTAAATGGTAGTAGGAAGGTCCCTAGCTACCAAATTGCTAAATGTAAGCCACATATCAATGGTTGCTCCTCTCTTACTAATGCTACTGTTTTTCTGTAAAATTTTATCATTACCAATTCTGACGTATGTACAACGAATTAGGCTTTTAAGTATGCCCATCATCAAGTAACCAGTTAGACAACAGTTATCTCCACTTTCTATCCATCTTCTACATTTCTCCTTAGTATGATGCTCATCTTATATTTTAGTCTTCTTATATTTGTAGCAAGTTCCTCAAATGCTTTTACTAAATCTTTCACTGGAATTGATGGAGCGGGAAAGAGATTAGCTGATGAGGTAAGTCTTGATCCATTAAGATACTATATTTCTTAAGACAGTTTTTCAGATTTGGATTATATGTATTCTAGCTCATTGAAAGGTACATGCAATTTCATGATCTGTACGACAAGCAGGTCGTGCAAGTTGTAAAGAAAACAGAGAGCTTAAAAAGGATTTCTTTTTTGGCTCATTCACTTGGTGGTTTGATAGCGAGATATGCTATTGCTGTCCTTTACCATAACTCAAATACCTTAAGTAGCACACTAAATGGTCCTTGCAATTCTTCAAAAAGAGGTGTGGTTGCAGGACTAGAGCCAATCAGTTTCATTACCTTGGCAACGCCTCATTTGGGAGTGAGAGGTAACAAGCAGGTTTGTCTTTGACAGTATTACGTCTCTACATCTCACTGAATGAAAATTTGGTAATTCTTAATGTAAATTCTACCTGAGACTTCATGTTCTTGCTATGGTTAGGCTTGCGAGTTTTAAACTTGTTGGATAACTATATAGACTTTGTTAAACTTACTATTGGCCTGGGTTTAAATTATGTTGACCACCTATTCTACCTAGGATATTAAATATTCTTGGAGTTTCCTCATTTTCAATTGTTATAGAGTTGGCCAATTATTTCTCGGGGTTGATCAAGTATGCAAAAATGAATTCAGACACCTAAGTTTATAAAAAAGGAACAGTTTCTTTAGGCTAAGATATTTGGTAGTTTTGTATGCTT